AAAATTTTTTTTATTATTATTTAAATTTTTGGTATAGGGCACATGTGCTCACCAGATAGTGAGAGAGAGTGAGAAAGCAAGCTGCCAGGCCCAGGACTTGAACTGCAATGGGCCATGTGGGAGTCTAGCACCTCAACCATCTCGCCACCTGCTGGCCCCAACTAACTAGTTTTAATCATTTAAACCAGGGATCTATAAAGTTTTACTTATTTACTTATTTTAGATTTTTGCCATAGGGTACCTGTGCTTACCAGAGGCAGAGAGAGGGAAATATGAAATCACTCCCTGGAGGGATGGCCACACCATCCTCCATTCTCCTCGGGATTCTGGGCTTGTATGCTCACGTGCCCCATGTGTCCTTCAAGCCTTTGAGCCTGGGGCTTGAAGCACGGAATGTGGAATCCAGTGCCTTCGCCACCATGCCACCTGCTGGCCCAGTCTGCAAACTTCTAAAACCACAGACTCCTACAAGTAAAAATGCTAGAGCGTGTACCTGCCCCGTTACACATAATCATAAACCACAAACATGCATTGCTTTCTGTTGCTGTATTAAATACTAGTTGAGTTTAATTTTTAAAGCATTATTTTATTTAACTTTATTTTTTTATTTACTTATTTTAATTTGACTAGAGAGGGACAGAGAGAGAGAGGAAAAAAAGGGAGAGAAACCAAGCCGCCAGGTCCGGGACTCAAACTGCAGTCGGCCATGTGGGAGTCTAGCACCCTTAACTACCACACCACCTGCTGGCCCTTGAGCTTAATTTTTTTTAGATAAAAATCACTATAAATAGAAGTTCAGGGGACCAGCAGCTGGCATAATGGCTATGTCTCTGGACTCCCATGTAGTCGACTACAGTTTGAGTCCCGGACCCAGTGGCTTAAACGCACGTCAGGTGCGTGTACATGCATGCCCAAGATTCCAAGAGGAGAATGGAGAAGAAGGGATTGCAGCATGGCCATCCCCCCTGGGGGGTGATTTCTCACTTTCTGTCTCTCTGTCTCTATCTGTCTTCTGGTGAGTGCGCGTGCCTTATAGCAAAAACCTCTCAAAAAAATAAATAAAAATAAAAAAGCTCAGCTCCTCTTCCTCATAGCATCTATGGGCCACCGTGCATGTGTTCCGCATTGGAGGTTGTACCTCCCACAAGGGGCCCCGTGAGAAACCACAGTCGTTAGCCTTGCATGCTCAGCCTTTTTCCAGAGGAAGGGCGCTCTGCTCAGTCCTCAGGGCTCAAGTCAGGGCTTCTGTCAGCCCCGGCAGTGTGCTTCCTGCCTGGGGAACCTCCCTATGGTTTTCTTGGAGTCATCCAGTCCCCTGCTAGAGGTAAAAGGGTCTCTAGGAAGGAGATGGGGAGGAAGGGGGAACTGTGTTCTTGCCCCTCATGTCTGGTTGGGGCAGATGAGGGTGGAGCTCCCTTACAGTGGGACAGAAAGAATGGGCCACTTCCCCAGCTCTAGGAACCAGGTCTCCAGCATCCAATTTCTCCTTAAAATATCAGGATGCAGGGCCGGCAGGTGGTGCGGAGGTTCAGACAGCTGGGTCTCACATGGCCAATTGCAAGTTAGACCCAGACCCAGATCCAGCGGCTTGTAAAACACACTGGGTGCATGTGCATGCATGCCCAAAATCCTAAAAGGAGACGGGAAGAGAAGGGGATGTGGTGTGGTCATCCCCCTTTGAGGAATAATTACTTCCCCTCTCTCTTTCTCTGTCTCTCTCTGGTGAGTACACGTGCCTTACCAAAACTAAATATACATATTGGGTCATCAGAAAAATCATGATATATTTTTCTGTGTTTTTCTATGCAAAAATGTGTCATGACTCTTCTGATGGCCTAGCATGTATGCATGTGTGTATATGTATATATACACTGTATATATGTGTGCACATGTATGTATATGTATGCATGTGCACTGCATACACGTTATACTTATGTGTACCAGTGTATACATACATATACATATTGTACACATGTGTGCCTGTGTGTATATACATACATAGTGTGCATATGTATCTGTGTGTACGGATACACATGCATACATATTGTGCATATGTGTATCTGTATGTACATGTATACATATTGTGCATTTGTGTATCTCTGTGTATGTATATATATGTGCATACATATTGTGCATATGTATATCTCTGTGTACGTATATACATGCATACACATTGTGCATGCGTGTATCTGTGTGTACGTATATACATACACACATATCGTATATATCTGTACCTGTGTGTATGTATATGTATACATGCATGCATACATATATATCAGGATGCAGAGAAAGATGAAGATTCACACCATCACAACCAAAAACCTGCTGAGACTCTGGAAGGCCCGAGACATCCTGTGTGCAGCACCTGGAGCCTCAGGAGGGAAGAGGCCAGGAAGGTCACTGAGAAAGCGGAGCTTGATACAGTGATGCTCAGGGCACTTTATCACTGTCTGGGAGTCCTGGCGGCCCCTCCCAAGGAGATAAACGTACAAGCGGGAGTTGGCAGATCATTGCTTGGGGTGTGCCAGGAAAGCCGACTTCCCCAACCTGCTGCACGAGGCCCTGGGGCCTGCGCCGGTCTCTCCACTGCGAAGTTGCTTGGCGTTTGACAGTGTTTAATAAGGAGGTTCCTCAGATGGCCCTGGGAGGCCTGTGGGAGGCAGGCACACAGCCAGGAGACTCCCAGAGAACGCCGAGTGTACAACTGTCAGGCCTTGGAACCCATGATGTAATGCCCCACCCGGCTCCAAGGAAAACAAGCCTGCTGTTGTCGCTGCCCTCTCGGCAACCAGGCACTGCCCTCCCCACAGCGCGGTGGTTCTGTGTATTACTAACTCCCTCTCCCTCCCTGGGAGGAGGAAATGTGGAAAACTGTATTGTCACATGAAAGCCAGCCCCCGAAGCCAGCCTGAGATAGGAGAAATGTCTTTTAAAACACTTCTTGCTGAAGAGGGATTTCCATAGCAACTTCAGAAGTGTGTGTATACAAGAGATAAGTCCAGGCCGATGGAAGCCACCTGGAATTCGAATAAGCCCTGCTCTGGGCATCGGCAGCCATGGAGTGTTTTAGAGCCTGCCGTGCTGCTGTTTTGCCCTGGGCAAGTCACTTTCCCTCTCTGAGTCCACGGTGACCACAGGATCATCTTCAGATCAGGCCAAGAGATCAAGGTCATCTTGTCCACACCATCCTCCCTCCTTAGCCCAAGGTTTCAGTCTCCTGCTTCAGGTTTCTGTCTGGTCCCCGGTTGAGTCATTCCTGTCTCAAGGTCTCTGCCAGTCTTATTATCTGACATTGGGGAAGATCAATGCTTATTTAAGCTTGAGGCTGGCCTGGGTAACATAGCAAGACCTGGCTTACCTTTCCCAAGTCACCAGGATTACAGGTGCATGCCCCAGTGCTCAGCCTTTTGGTCGGACCAGGCCTTGAACCTGGGCTTCCCATGTGAGCCCAACCTGCAGAGCACAGCATCTTGGTAGCATGAGCCACATGGCTGGGCCCTCTCCAGACATCTTTGTCTTATTGAATCTGTGCCAGGACACAGTGCATAGACGATTCGGTAAAAATGGGTGAGCTGATGAAGGAAGGGTGATCGCCAGTACCCGTGTAAATGACCCAGAACGCTTGACCTTTCTCACGTGAACATACTTTAACTCTGTCTCAGAGGACCCTCATTTCAAAACGAGTAAACTGAGGCCCAGAGAGGTTAAGTGCTTTGCCCACAGCTTCTTAGGGGCAGAATTCAGGTTTCTCAGAGCTTTAGACTGCACAAGTAAAATCAGGTTAAAGTCAAAGTCCAGAGCCAGCTCGAAAGGGAAAGGAGTCACAAAGAGCAGCGGAAGGGTGAGGACAGAAGGTGGTAGTAACAGGTTGCTTGGAGGTTAAGGTAGCTGGGATCACACCTGGCCAATTGCATGGTTTGAGTCCCAGACCCGGCGGCTTGAAAAACAGGCCAGGCACCTATGTATGCATGCCCCAAATCCTGAAAAGAGAATGAAGAAGGGATTGCAGTGTAGCCAACCCCCTGGGGGTTGATTTCTCACTTTTCTTCTAACTCTCTCTGTCTCCCTCTGGCAAGTGCACACATGTCCTATAGCAAACTAAAAAAAAAAAAAAGAAGAAGAAGGAATAGTATTTGGTCATCAGGAAAGTGACGGCATATTTTTCTGTGCAAAAATGCACCATGCCTTTCCTGACAACTCAGAGTCCACCTTCAAGCCTTGATCTTGGCTGCTCCAAGGGACTGCCATGTTCTGGTGACCCCGATCTCTAATAGGCCACAGCCCCCTCTGTCCCACCAACAGCTTCTCTGAATCACTGCCCAGCCACCAGCCCTCTAAAATAATGTTTCCCAGAATATGTTCCATACGGTACTTCTCGAACTTCAAGACGCATACAAATCCCAGGGTGAACTTACTAACATGCAACTTCTCAGTCAGTAAATTCCAGGGTGAGGCCTGAGTTTCTGCATTCTAAACTCCCAGCGATGCTGACGCTGCTGTTCTGTGGATCAAACTTTGGAGTAACAAGACATCAACCGTGTTGTGTGATGAAAGAAGTTTATGGGCAAATACTTTCGCAAAATCTAGACTAACCCAAACGAACCAGCTTCATTACTGTAGGACTCCTCAGAGCTTTAAAAAGCCAGCGAGCATCAATAATCTCCAAGGAGGAAGATCATACGGAAATTGCAGTGTTATACATGAGTAAAGGTTAATGATGTAACCAGAACGCTTTGATACATCAGTTTACAAAGAGCCAACAGAACATCGGGAATTATCTATGCATTTTCCCTGGCTTACCTTGCAAGGTTCCAGTGTCTGGATGCTCCAGCACCGCATTAGCCCCAGCTCAGCCCTCCCCTTTTTCCCGTTTTCTCCCTAGAGGTGTTTGGGAACAGGACTGTCCTTCCATCAGACCTACACCTCCCCACCCTGCTCCTGGGCGCTTCCCTGTCCCGGTGGGGCTGTGTGCGCAGAAGAGACCTCAACCGCGGAAATACCTTTCGCAGACGCGGACGGTCCAGGCCGCGATGATCCACAGCGAGATGCTGAACACAAGCAGCACCGTGCCGGGGCAGATGGTCATGAGGGTCTTCATGACGAAGCGGGTGTTGAAGTTGATCTTGTTGAGAGCCCCGATGCTGCGGGAGGAGGCGTCGGTGAAGAGCTTGCTGTGCAGCAGCATAACGCGCGCGATCAGGTACAGGCGCAGGAACATGGGGATGGACAGGATGATGTCCACGTCGGCCTCGGCGCGCGAGGGCGTGTAGGAGAAGGCCAGGCGCGCCGTCCAGAAGAACTTGTACTCGCCGGGGATGGGGTGGATGGCGCACACCAGCATCTCCAGGCTGATGTAGAGGATGCGCTCGTAGGTCATGGCTATCCGCCAGTCGTCCGCGCCGTTGTCGATCACGAAGAGCTGGCGGACAGAGAGCCCGTTAGTGTGGCGGCAGCAGGGCCGAGGAAGAGGGGGGCTCAGGGCAGCCTGACTGCCTGGGGCCCTCAGAGGCAAGGGGAGTAGGGAGTGGACGGGCTAGCTGGGAGGCCTCGCTATGACACTTCCACCTCTGGGGCCTCACTCCTCTCCTCTGTAAATTGCTTTCTGGAACACTGTGATTTATAAGAAGAAGAAAGGTATTAAGTTGTCACTGGTTCCCGTTTCCACAGTTCCCAAAGCCCTAGGAATTTCCAAAGTGGTAAGTGCCTTCTTGTCTGTTAATCAGAGGCCTGATGGCTGGGCCCCCCTGGGGGGGGGGCGCTGAGGGGAAGGGAAGGGACTTTGAGACTTTCAGCCCCACTCTATACCCGCTCCCAGGGCAAAGGGGCTGAAGGTTGAGTTGATCACCAATGGCCAGTGACAGTACTGAATCGCGCCTACCTAATGAAACCTCTGCAGAGCCTCAGAAAGACAGGGTTTGGAGAACTCCCGGACTGTGGGACACATGGAGGTTTCTGGAAGGCGGGAACTGAAAGCAGGCACGGACGCTCTGTGCGCCTTCCGTCACCTTTACCCTGTGCCCCTCTCCCATCTGCTGGGCACCTGCATCCTCTGCCACACCTTTATCACCAACCAATAAACATGAGCATGTCCTGGATAGCAAATTAGTCCTATCTGAGAAGTGGGCTGGGGAGCCCCAGATTTGGAACTGGTCAGTCAGAAGGGCAGGTGAAACAACCTGGGCTTGCTTGCATTGGAAGTAGGTGGCATTCGTGTGGGACTGAGCCTTCAACTTGTGGAGCTGATGCACGCCCAGGTGTCGGAGCTGAGTTAGACTGTAGGCTACTCTTGGGCCAGCCTCTGGTCTGGTGGCTAAAGGAGTAGGAGCCCAGGTGGCTGACTGTGGTTCAAATCCTGGCTCTGGCAGCTTGAGAAACATGCTGGGCATATGTACATGTGGGCCCAGAATCTCGACAGGATAGAGAAATGGAGGAAAAAGGACTGCAGAGTGACCACGCCCCATTGGGGGAGGGGTGATTTCTCCCTCTCTGTCTCTTTCTGGTGAGCTCACACACCTTCAGGCAATAATATATATATATATATATATACAGAGAGATTATTTTACATATAAAATTAATCCTGAATCCTGCATGACCGACTACATGGTTCGAGTGCCAGACCCAGCAGCTTGAAAAACATGCTGGGCACATGTGCATGCATGCCCAAAGTCCTGAAAGGAGAAAAGGAAAAGGGATTACAGCATGACCATCCCCCCTAGGGAGTGGTTTCTCACTTTCTTTCTCTCTCTCTCTCTTTCCAAAAAGCATGCATGCCTATTAGCAAAATTAAAAAAAAAAAAATTTGTGGGCCACTCAGCGGTGTCCACTAGAAGACTGCTTGGTGTATCGGGAACCCCTCCCCCCCACCTTGGTGACCAGAAGTGATTATGCTGAAGAATTGTGTAGTAGAAGACAGCTGGGTTGGTTTCTTTCTACCATACACTTCCCAAGGCCCCTTCTAGCTCGAAGGTGCCAGGACCCAAATGCGCTGTTCATGACGGCGAGGGGGAGCAGTTCATCTGTATCAAAAACACATCCCTGAGGCCCTGCCAGGCGCCAAGCTGAGCCCTGGAGGGGGATGCGGAGATGAGAAGTGATGTTTCCTGCATGAGTGAGCTCACAGGGCTGGCGCAGATCCCTGAGCCCCGCTCAGAAGGAACCACCAGCGAGCGAGGGCTGGCAGTGCGATGCTTTCCGGCAGTGTGGTGGAGCGCTCGCACCGTGGGCTCCGAAGCCAGACTGTCTGAGCCTGACGCTAACGCTCTGTGATCGTGGGCCCCTACTGAACCTCTCTGTGCCTCATTGCCGTTCCCTCCTCTGGGGAGGGATAGCAGCCGCGGCACAGGCGGTCACAGCGGGGCTGCAGTGGGTCAGCACATACCTGAGCGTGGATTCCTGCCGGGCACCCGGCACCCGGCACGCTCCATACAAGTATCAGCTGTGATTGTTTTCAACCTTGTTTTAAATTTTATTTATTTATGCCATGAGAGCTAGAGACAGAGCGGAGGAAGGGTGATGTCACGGCGACCTCCCAGTAGGCTCTCCGCACTGTGATCCAGCCCCGGTCTCCACAACCCAATCACAGGCACACTCGAGCACCCTGCATGCTCACGGAGGTCCCAGAACGTGAACCCAGGGCCTTTCCTGTGCGGGCCCAGTCGCATCACTGCTGTGCTACCACCTGGCCCACATTTTTGGCGTGATCAAAACATGGAGGAGTCACAGCCTTTCTGTAAAGGGAGGGCTGGGCTCGGTGATGTCCAAGTGCCCTCCTGTCCCTAACCTTCCACAGCACGTGGTTTCTGTGGCCGCATCACGAGGATGCAGCTGCTCAAACAAGCACCGCTGACACCTGCCGTGTCCAGCCAGGGCCCCAGGCTGGGGGTCACATATGGGGACCTCAAGGAAGGGCGACTGAAGACCCCACCATATTTGATGACTGTGGAGGAGATGTCACCTCCTTCCCCTCTGTGGCCTCGGTTCCATACCTATGAAATGAGGGGCCTCTGGGATTCCTATAGTCCTGCCTCTTACAGGGTGAGGCCCTAGCAGGGGCATGTGTTGAGTGTGGGACCGCCTGGGAGGTGTGTCCCTGACTTCTGAGAGGCCATGGAGGTGTTTCTCATCACTCATGTCCTCTCCACACCTGCCCTTGGCCCTCAGGCACCTCTCCCTGCCTGCCAGCTCACACGGCCCACTCAGGAGCCCGGCCCGCATGCTGCCTGCTCTAGCGCCACAGAGAGCTGTGGCTTCCAAGGCCTCTTATGCTGCTTGGAGGAAGGAGCCAGTGTCCCATGGCCTAGCAAGAGCCGATGCTCTGGGGCGAGAGCCTGGGAAGAAAGGCACACTCGCAGGGGAGTGGCCTGTGAACCCCGGAAAAGCCTTTCCGACTGCTAGGCTGGCAGGAAATCATGAAAGACATTAAGCTGGAGCGAGGTTGGGGGAGGGCATTTAACCTGGAAATATCCTCTCTGTACAGGGGGAGTGGCACAGGGGCTGGGTCAGTGAGGATCGGGGGCTGGTAGGTCAACCTCAGCCTTCCGTGGTTTCCACCTGACCCACACAGGGGGACTAGGGGACTAGGGGACAAGGGCCCTTTACATCTGCCCCACTGTCCCCATGACACCTTCCCTCCCACCTGACCCACACAGGGGGATTAGGGGACAAGGACCCTTTACATCTGCCCCACTATCCCCATGACACCTTTCCTCGCACCTGACCCACACAGGGGGACTAGGGGACTAGGGGACAAGGGCCCTTTACATCTGCCCCACTGTCCCCATGACAGTCTGAGCCCAGGGAAGCTTCTGCTCTGTGTGGAGGTTCGTTTCCAGGCACCCTTCTCTTCTCCCTCCTCCTCTGCCTTCCCTACATGCCCTGCATGCCCTGGTCACCAAGAACCCATGAGAGAACCCACGGTGACCAGGCCTGGGGCTCTTGAGGGCAAACCAAGGTCCACTGGGGAATCTGCATCATGCCTGACACAAATTCAAGGCCAACATCTGAGTAATGTGACAGGGACCACAGGGTCTCCCAGCTGCCTCGCTCTGGGCTCTGCCATGCAGGGCAAGTTCCAGACAGCTCAGGGGCCACTGGGCGAAAGGGGGCGGGGAGGTGAGCAGCCCCTTGTGGCTAGTCTCTGACCTTGCCGAACCTCAGTCTCCCCTCCCTCCACCCTGCAACAGCTAAAATGGGGGACACGTGAGCTGATGGGTGTGCGAGCGCTTCGTGAACTGCACGGGTCGCTTGTGCATTTGCTCGTTCAATAAACGTGTGGGGAAGGCCTTCCATCCGCCAGGCGGAGGTAGGAGGGATCCAGGGACAAGCTAACCGGCTCTGAGCTCGGCTCTACAATGAGGACGAAGACAGAACTAGAGGGTGCTGGGGAGTGATTGGCCAAGGGCCCGACCCCATGGGGCTCTGAGCAGGAGGGTACCCGCCACAATGCCAGTGGCGACTTCAACAGCTCCCTCCCCAGGGCTGCCGAGCCCGGGTTTTCCCAGACCCAGGTTGACCCCATCAATGAGAAAGACTAATGGCCTCTCAAAGGGCTCCCTGTGCCCCTAACTACTGCCCACCAGGCCAAGCCATGGCAACGTGACTGCCTGGCCAAACTCTTCAAATATAAAATTAAAACCATCCCCCTGTAATAAAGGACCGCATCTGGTTACTATAGTAACTGGGATCACCCTGGGCAGGGGCAGAAGGAGCGAGTAACAGATTCCTCTGCCTGCCGGGTGGGGACAGGATTACATGCCATCTGAGAGGAAGACCAGGTGCTGGTCCCAGGGCGGGGGCCCCGCCCCCCTCTATTTCAGTTTCCTAGTACAGGGCAGGCAGGGGCAACACAGGGCCTGGAGGTGGCGGCCGACAAGCTGACTGAAGTCTCCCCTTTCCAGTTGTTAGCTATGAGGTCTCAGGCCGGCCCAAGACCTCTCTGAGCCTCTTCCTACATCTCTATCCGGAGAGTATTGACCATGACCCTGCCCACCTTGCAGGACGGGCGTGAGGATCCAACAAGACAGAGGGTACACAGAACTGCTTCAGCGCCTGCTCCAAATGTGAGGGATCGTAAAGCCGGCTGGCCTGGGGGACAACCCCCGCAGGGTGTCAATGGGTGGCGTGTGTTATGAGTAGGGGATTGGGAGGTGTGTGGTTCTGGTAGCCGATGCAGGGTTTTGTCCCAGAAGATCCCATTGTAGTCCCATGGGAGGTCACCCCGCCATCTAGCTTCTGACCCTGGAATCCCAGCTCTCCAAATGCAGTCTCGTTCCCTTCAGTTTAGGGTAGATAATTCAGCATCCTTTTTGGTCCTCACGAAGCACAAACTACCATCTAGCTTCTGACCCTGGAATCCCAGCTCTCCAAATGCAGTCTCGTTCCCTTCAGTTTAGGGTAGATAATTCAGCATCCTTTTTGGTC